GTCACGCCGGAGTAGGCGGGGAAGTCCCGATGCGACGTGGATTGCGTGGCGCCCACGTGCAGCCGCGGGTCGGGCCCCAGCGCGAAGTGCGAGGCCTTGAGGAAGTCCAGCCGGAACATGGGGCACGGCAGGGGGGCGCCCGCGGCCATCGCGGGAGGACGTGGCGCCACCTGCGCGGGGGAGGAGACGGGCCTGAGCAAGTGTCCGCTGAGGACAGTGCTCCCTTTTACTTCTTTCTGTGTGCCAGGCACTGGGCTCGGGGTTGGGGACATTATAAGAAACAGGTGCAGCCCCTGTGCATTCCCATTGTTGTGCAACCATCACCTGTCCTCAAGCTGTCTGAGGTCTACCCGCCTCCCACTCCTCTGGGCTCCCAGCGTCCCGCTTAACCCACTGGGACTCTCTGGCCTTTGTTCAGAGCTGAGGTGTCTCTCTCACCCTCTTCTCTGCCCTTCAGTGACTAGACCCTCAGATGTCACCTGCTCCCCTGACTCAGGCTCACCTCCTACAGGAAGCCCTCCCAGACCACTTCAGCCCACAGCTATTTGCTCATGTCGATCTTTTTAGAAGACGTGCACCGAGGGTTTTAACGAAACCACAGTTTTTCAGTGTATATTTTGTTGCTTTTTCAATCCTTTTATCACCTGAAATAGTCGAAAGTCAAGAAGATTTCAAATAGGTTACAGGAAAATTTGACAGGTGAAATTACTAGCCAGGTCACCTTGGAATAAGTCATTGGGCTCCTGTGAGTTTCAGTTGCTTCATCAGAGATGAGGGTAGGTACCTACCTCAAGAAGGGGCATGGGGACTGAGCCTTAGAAAATGCGCTTTACATAGGCCTGACCCTCAAGACTCCCTCTGCCTCCAGTCTTTCAGAGAATGCTCAGATATTCCATCCAATGCTGCGTTCTGTGGTGGTCCAGCTTTGCCCATTGTGACCCGAAGAGCTGCCCCAGACAATGCTGTCACAATGGTCCCCCAGCAACTCTGGAAACAGCTGGGAGGAAAATCAGGAGCAAGGCCAGGGGATCCTGCCTCCTGAGAGCTGGAGGGAGCCTGGCCAGTAACTTGACTTCTTGCAGTCTCAGTTTTGTCATCTGGAGAATCGGGTTGGCAATGGCAACAACTTCAGTGGTGAGGATTTGATGCAAGAGGCCACTGGTGTCCATTGTCATGATTTCCCCAGGTTTTCCTTCTCGTCTGCTTCCTAATGCTCCTCCCACAGGATAGGCCAACCTCTCTGAGTCACACTGCATCACTTAATGCCACCCCAGGGCTCACAGACCTCCAAGGTAGCCTTAAAGACATCCATGCTCCCCACTGCCAGCCGCAGCTCCACCAGGAACACACATGTGTTGAACACAAAGGGCTTCTTACTCACTGCAGTGGGGAGAGTTTACTCCACTGACCTATCAGACTTGGGCTTGTCTTAGGTACTTCTAGGGAGATTTAAGAAAGCAAGACTTTGCAAGTGTCTATCGACAGATGAATGGATAAAGAAGGTGGGATATATAGATATATATATTATATGGAATACTACTCAGCCATAAAAAAGAATGAAATAATGCTATTTGCAGCAACACAGATGGACCTAGAGTGAAGTAAGTCAGACATGTGGATTCTGGCCGACAGAGTGCTATCTAAAACCTCAGCTATGCAAGCAAAGCAGTCTCTGCTTTTTAGGGCAAGGAGACAGGAGTGCGGACAGACGCACAGGAGCCTGCTTGCAAAGCAGTTACTAAGCACATTTGTTCTTCTTAAAGGAGACAAGCGGCTGGGGTCTGTTAAAATTTGTTAACCCAATCATGGACTCCCACACAGACAGAAAAAGACAAATATCACATGGTATCACTCGTATGTGGAATCTTTAAAAAATGATACAAATGAACTTATTTACAAAGCAGAAACAGACTCACAGACATAGAAAACAAACTTGTGGTTACCAAAGGGGAAAGGAGGGAGAGGGATAAATTAGGAGTTTGGGATTAACAGATACACACTAATATATATGAAATAGATAAACAACAAGGACCATTATATAGCACAGGGAACTACATTCAATATCTTGTAATAAATTATAATGAAAAAGAATCTGAAAAAGAATATATGTGTATATATGTATATGTAAAACTGAATCACTTTGCTGTACACCAGAAACTAACACAACATTGTAAATCAACTTTCCTTCAATTACAAAAAAAAAAGCGGGGTTTTGCTCTGTGTTGGATGCTTTTACTGGTTGGACATGTGACTTTCTTTTTTTAAAAAATTAAATTTGTTTTATTTTTGTCAGGGAGGTAGTTAGGTTTATTTATTTATTTATTTAGGATTGAACCCAGGACCTTGATTATGCTAAGACTGCGCTTTACCACTGAGCTATACCCCCCACCTTGACTTTCTTTTTTTGAGGTGTTTTGACAAATAAAAATAATGCATAAAATACATCAGGATGGGGGAATGGGAAGGTGATGTTTAATGGGGACACAGTTTCAGTTTGGGAAGATGAAAAAGTTCTGGAGGTGGATGGTGGTGATGGTTGCACAGCAATGGAATGCACTTAATTGGGAGCTCGGGATTTTCAGACACACACTACTGTATATAAAATAGATAAACAACAAGGTCCTTCCGTATAGCACGGGGAACTATATACAACACCTTGTAATACCCTATATGGAAAAAGAATATGAAAAGGAATATATATATATATACATATATATATATATATATGTATAACTGAATCACTATGCTGTGCATCAGAAATTAACACATCCTTGTAAACCAACTATAATTCAATAAAAAATAGACATTTTTTAAAAATGGGGATGTACTTAATGCCACTAAACCGAACACTTAAAGGTGATTAAAATGGTCAGTTTTAATGTTATGTGTATTTTACAATACAAAAAAAATTTAAAAGAAAAAGCAATTTCTTTACCTTGTTATATATATATATATATATTTATTGACGTATATTCAGTTACAGTGTTGTGTCAATTTCTGGTGTACAGCATAATGTTTCAGTCATACATAGACATACATAGATTCACTTTCATATTTTTTCCTTATAGGTTATTACAAGATATTGGTTATAGTTCCCTGTGCTATACAGTAGAAACTTCTTGTTTATGTATTTTATATAGAGTAGTATCTGCAAATCTAGAACTTCCAGTATATCCCTTCCCACACACTTTCCCCCTGGTAACCATAAGTTTGTTTTCCTTGCCTGTGAGCCTGTGTTTTATAAGTAAGTTCATTTGTGTCATTTTTTTTAGATTCCACATATGAGTGATATCATATGTTATTTGTCTTTCTCTTTCTGGCTTACTTCACTTGGAATGACGATCTCCAGTTTCATCCATGTTGCAGCAAATGGCATTATTTTATTCTTTTTTATGGCTGAGTATTCCACTGTATATATATACACCACATCTTCTTTATCCAGTCATCTGTCAATGGACATTTAGGTTGCTTCCATGTCCTGGCTGTTGTAAATAGTACTGCTGTGAGCATTGGGGTGATCCCTGTACTTTGAATTGGAGCCCCAGGACTTAGGTACTGAGTGGATTCCTTTTTACTAAATTCAAGTCAACTGTTGTTTTGTCTGCTGGGTTGAGGTTCCATCACCTGCTCCCCAGCCCAGGGCCCAGCTGAGGGCTTCAGCCCAGCCAGGTTGAAGCAAATATACATTTTCCCTGCCTGTTGGGGAAAGGAGGATCCGGGGGCTCCTGGATGCTGTCAGGAAGCACGGAGGGGTAGGTAACGCTGTTACAGAGGAGCTGAATTATTTGATCCAGAGGTCTAAGGAATGAAGCAAGACGAAAGTGCTGATTGTTGATGACACAGGAGTCACTCCGATCAGCCAGGACAGGCCATGTCTGGTCGCTGTTGTGGTTTGGAAAACATTTGTTTTGTCTGCGCTCAGACGGGATGATGGAGTGGGCTTGTTTTGTCTTAGTCCACCACGGCCACAGAGCGACCTTGTCTGACACTGGCGTTTTGTGAAATTATTTCTGTCCAGCGGGAGAACACCAGTGCCTAGCTGTGGATGCCGGGCCAGCTCTTGTCTTTCTCAAAGGTCAAGCTCAGCCCTAACCAGACACTGGAGGGTGCTCGGAGGGCCGGGCCGGGCCCGCCAGGCTCACTGCTGTCTCCCTGGTGCCTAGCATGGGGCCTGGCACACCGCAGGCACGCAGAGAAATGCATCGTGCTGTTACAAGACCAGTGGGGACAGCACAGGCTCAAGAAGGGATCCAGGCACTCATGCAGCGGCAGCTCTGCTGCCTGAGGCTCCCTTCCCTCTGCAGGCCTCAGGCTGGGCTTGGACATTTTTCTGCTGTTGAAACAGTATCTCCAATTGGTAGGGGTTGGGGGGGTGCACAGACCCCTGCACCCAGGTCTTAAGCAAGGAGGGCTGTGGTCAGAGGTGAGGGTTTTCCTTATTTTGGGGAGGAGGTAATTAGGTTTATTTTAATTAATTGATTGATTTTTAATGGAGGTACTGGGGATGGAACCCAGGACCTCCTGCATGCTAAGCATTCACTCTACCTCTGAGCTATTACCCTCCAATGCAAGGGTTAAAGAGTCTCTTGGGATGTTATGGGGAAGGCAGGCCTTGGGATGGAGGGCTTGGGGTTTAGGAGAGAGAGAATGGGGGTTGCCCATGGAGGGAGCTGTGGGCTGGGAAGAAGTGGCTGGGTTCAAGGGATATTTTGGTGACTGCTGGGACATGGGAGGGGCTTGTGGAGGGAAAGAGGTGAGCATAATGGTGCTGGGTGATAGGTGGGGCAGCCCTGAGATGGGGGCACGGAAGAGCCAGACGTTTGGGGAGTGATGCTGACATCAGTCTGGGGCTTGCTGAGTGCAAGGGGGCTTGTTGGATTCGCAGGGGAAATGTCCAGGGGACAGGTGGCAGCAGGACACAGGGAAGGACTGGAGAGAGAGTTGGAAGAGGCCAGCAAAGAGGTGGCTAGGGAAATCGTGGGCAAGGACCAGGTCTCCCAGGACAGTGTGGATGGAGCACGAACAGAGAGCTTTGGACAGGATGCTGAGCCCCACAAGCAACACCACTTACTGAGAACCTATTTTGTGCTAGGCTGTGGGGATGTAGCTGTGACCGAGACAGATCAAAATCTCTGCCCTAGTGGAGTTCACATTCTGTCAAGGAGAGACAAACAACTAGGTAACTAGACAAATAACCAGATGACTAGGTAAAGAAGCAAAATATACAGTTACGTTAGTGTAACAAGCTAAAAAGAAAAATAAAGCAGCAAGAAATGTGGGTAGGAATTGCTGAGGAGGGTGTGATGCGGAGGTCCTATGAGAAGAGGACATTTGAGTAAACACGAGGAGGAGGTGAGGGACAGCCTTCCAGGCAGAGGGAACAGCAGCATATGCAAAGGTCCTGAGGCAGGTGCGGGCTGTAACTTCAAGAAACAGGAGGAAGGCAATGTGACTGGAAAGGAGTGAGTGAGGCTGGCAGAGTAATAGGAATTGAAATAAAGAGAAAATGTTTAATAAAAGGGAATCAGTCAACATCATTAGCCATTAGGGAAATGGAGAACAAAACCACAGTCAGGTAAAACTTCACACCTAGTAAAATATGCATTTTTGTGTCTGCCTATTGGTAAACCTGCTTATCTTTCCCTGACCCCTATTTATCATTTTAACCTCAGGAAAAATAGGAGAGCATATGTAATCTGCAGTGCATAAAATTCAAGAGCTACAAAATGGTACAAAGGTGAACTTTAATCTCTGCCCAGTGACAGCTAAAGAATGTCGCCTGCCATCCGCCTCTACAAGGATTGAGTCACTGGCCACTGCAGTCGCCGGTCTTCAGCACACCCTGAAAGGAGTTCAGGGTGGAGATCAGGAATGAGGCTCTCTGTGCTCTGGGAAAACTGGCAGAACAGGCCTTTCAGTTAGATACTTTAAGGAAAAATTTTCTATGAGCCTGGATTCTTACATCTTTCCATACTGAAGAAAAGCACTAAAATCATTAACTATGGTATCTGCTCCTCCTGACTAGCAGCAACCTTCTATCGACATGTGTGCTTGATTACACACACCCTCATCCCAAATCCCATGTATCCCTTCCCTCCACTTCTTCCGGGCAGCTCCTCAGAACTACCCCGGGGTCAGTCTCGGTTACGGTCCTCAGAAAGCCCCCAAATAAAGGGGAAACTCACAGCTCACCGTGTGCGTTCTTATTCTAGTCGACACCAGCCACCCAGTTATCCTTTCCGGTGCAATCCCAGTTACCAGATTGTTGCCTATTCTTCTAGAAGGATTCTATGTGTTTCCTTAATTTTCTAATAATGCCTTACACGATATCACAGCAGCCATACGTGCTCACTATTGACAAGCAGACAATACAGAAAGGGTGATGAAAAAAATTACAAAGAAGCTTCCCTTCTTGAACCGCAGTAAACAGGCTGGTGCGCTTTTGCTTGGAATATGTGTATTTTTGGTGGATAGTTGGTTAACTCTGAAAGGACGAGCCAGTGCGGGGCGGAAGGCTGCGAGCTCCCGGGGCCCTCCTGGGTGCAAAGGCGCGGGGGTGCGCACACGTGGCGGCGGCACAGCCGCACACCCGGTCCCTCC